GTCGTCCTCGCTGCCTTCTGGGAGGAGAGGCACAGAGGCACTCACCTAAAATCCCTTCCGGCAGGCAAGGCAGGAGAGAGGCTTCGAGACCAGGATAAGCCACTGACTTCTCCCTGTCCTGCGGGGCTTCCCCGCAGCTCCCAGGGCTCCTCTGGAGCAGCTGCCACCACGCAAACTGAGTGCCAGCCATGGCAAAAGCTGAGGGCTCACAGGCTGGCCCATCCCTCCCGAAATACCCGTTTTGTTTTCTTCGAGAGCTGGCGAGCAGCAGGGAATCCCCCATCCTAGATTTTTTTTCTCCATACTGCATCTTTGCAGGTTTCAGGGGGTTCCTCCTGCTCAGCAGCACTCTCTCCCTCTGGGGAAAGAAATGCCCCTCTACGCACGCAACTCCTCTTCTAAGCACACTGTTAAAGGCAGAAATTAGTCAGGCTGCTCTCAGGCACACGGATGTGGACATGAAAGGAACTGGTAGCGATCTGAAAAGCCATCAGGAAACCAGTCTGTGTCATCCCTGCTTGGAGCACACAGCACGGATGTGCTCAGTGGCCAAACACACGCTGTCCCTACCTGCAGCTGCCAAGGAAAGGCACGAAAGATCTGATTTGATATGAAGAGAGGTGGTAGGATGCAAAAGGATGTATTTGCAGAGTGAGTTCGTTAGGAAGAAGTTTTTTACTTTGAGGGTGGTAAGGCAGTGGAACAGGTTGCCCAGAGAGGTTGTTGAGGCCCCATCCCTGGAGGTGTTCAAGGCCAGGCTGGACGTGGCCTTGGGTAACCTGATCTAGTGGGAGGTATCCCTGCCCATGGCAGGGAGGTTGGAACTCGATGATCTTTAAGGTCCTTTCCAACCTAAACCATTCTATGATTCTATAAACTGTGGTGCCCTGGGGCAGCACCTGCATGGAAAATTCGGCTCTCTGCCTCCACCTTACCTAAGGCCCCTTGGCAGATGTCTGTGCGTGTGGCTCCACCAGCTATGAACTGGGGGCTGGAACACAGCTCCTGGGAAGAAAACAAGCCTCATATTACATATATCTGCAGGTAATGGAAGGAACAAAGCAAATTTAAACAACCAATCGACCACAGCAGGGCAACACCACAGAGATGGAGCACGTCAGGAATGAACACGGAGCACCAGACACGCTAAGCGTTGTGAGAATGCCAGGCAGTGACCAAAGCTTGTGGGCAGCCATCTCACTTCTCCATATGTGCCAGGAGGTCCACTGCATTTTCACACACGTGCACACATCGCTATGCTATTACCTCCCCGCGACTGACCACGTCAGGGTCTTTCAGAGATGCCTAGACACCCCGGAGTCCCTCTGACCCGATGGCTCCCGGGGGCTGCTTCGGTAGCCAGAGGTGCGGGTTGAGCGAGGGCTCATAAAAGAAACCTCCGCATCGTGGTCAGCTCATCTCTCTGCTAAGGAAAAGAGTTACCCCAAGCGACAGCCCCGAGCGCTGCCCAAAACAAGTGGTTTATCCACACGGAGAGCTCAGGCTGGAAAACCGAACACCTTTTTTACTGTTATTTTTCCAGATGGAGCGCGTTACCCTGCCAGCCCGGTCACCGGCCCACGGGGGACACCCTCATATCCCCTCACCACCACCCCCCC